TCACAAGCTAAGCAAATATTTATGTTGCTATAGAGCAAGCTGTAATACCCAGTTTTTGCTGCTGGGTACATAAATATTTACTAATGGACCTCTGTAAGCAGGGGTTCTGCTAAATGCCTTCTGGGAGTAGATTGCTAATTTGTCTTTGAAATAATCTCATAGAATCACCGAAGTTGGAAAAGACCTCCGAGGTCATCCACAGAATCACGGAATGGCCAGGGTTGGAAGGGACCTCAAGGATCATGAATCTCCAACCCCCCTGCCGCATGTGAGGCCACCAACCTCCACATTAAATATCAGACCAGGCTGCCCAGGGTCCCATCCAGCCTGGCCTTGAACACCTCCAGGGATGGGGCATCCACAACCTCCCTGGGCAGCCTGTTCCAGCACCTCACCACTCTCTCTGTAAAGAACTTCCCCCTGACATCCAACCTCAATCTTCCCACCCTCAACTTAAAACCATTTCCCCTTGTCCTGCTGTTATCTACCCTTTCAAAGAATTGATTCACCTCCTGTTTGTAGGCTCCAGTCCAACTGTCCACCTGCCACCAAAATTCCCACTAAACCACGTGCCTTAGTACAACATACAGATGTTTCTGGAACACCTCCAGGGATGGTGACTCCACCACTTCCCTGGGCAGCCTGTTCCATTGCCTGACCAAAGAAATTTTCTTCCAGAGAAGAAATTTTTTCTAATATCCAACCTGAATCTCCCCCATTGCAATGAGAGGCCATTCCTTCTCATCCTATCTCTAGTTACATGGGAGAAGAGGCCGACCCCCAGCTCACCTCAGCCTCCTTTCAGGGAGTTGTAGAGAGTGATGAGGTCTCTGCTTAGCCTTCTCTTCTCTGGACTGGCAATCCCAGTTCCTTCAGCTGCTCCTCGTAAGGCCTGCGCTCCAGACCCCTCACTGGCTTCGTTGCCCTTCTCTGGACACACTCCAGAGCCTTGATGTCTTTCTTGTAGTGAGGTGCCCAAATCTGAATGCAGTGCTTGGTGCAGCCTCACCAGAGCTGCGTACAGGGGGATAATCACCTCCTGCTCCTGCTGGGAGTCTGCAAAAGTGTGTGCTGTGGTGTTTTTGTTGTTAGTTCTGTGGTGGGATGCACAGCACCTTTGTGACTAGGACAGTTTGTACAAAGTCAAGATCAGACAAAGGGACCGTGGTAACGTTTAACAAAAGGAGTAATGCTCTGTTTCTCTTGGACCCCATTTTCAGTCCTGCATCCAGGCCTGGGGCCCCCAGCACAAGAAGGATGCAGAGCTGTTGGAGTGGCTACAGAGGAGGCCACAAAGATGCTCAGAGAGCTGGAGCACCAATTCTATGAAGACAGGCTGAGAGAGCTGAGGTTGTTCAGCCTGGAGAAGAGAAGGCACCGGGGATGCCCTGCGTGGTCTTGCAGTACTTAAAGGGAGCTTATGAGCTGGAGTGAGGGGCTGTATGGACTGTGGGACCTGAAACAGGTGATCCTTCCAGGTCCCTTCCAGCCAAAGTGTTCTATGATTATTTGAGCAAAGTCCATCTATACAGCAATTAGGAACAAGATACAGATATGTTCCACTGCATTCTGCTGCCTGATTCTGGGCTTAAATGTGTGTATGTGTTCAAGGTGGGGAAGATCTTGCAGCAAATCTGCATACAGCAAATCAAAAACAAGAAGTAGTTGATGTAAAAATATTTCCCTAATATTGACATCAATTTGAGTTTGTGAGTTTTACACATTTATTGCTGAAGTGGATTCTGAAAAAGACCTGATCAAAGCCAGGATGTGTTGAGCAAATGCACTCTTCCAAAAGCAAATGTCACCTGAGTTGAATGATGCCATCTACAACTAGTTTCCTGGGAACTTGAAGAAGTTGTGAAGGGTTCTGAGTGGTTGTGTGGGCTTTTTTTGCCCTCCTGCAGCTGTGAATTAGGTGGAGAAATACTGCAGCTGAAATGTACGTGGTTTTGTCTCTCGAAAATTCACTGCTGGCACAGAATTCAGCCTGCAAAAGTAAAGAGGTCATGACACAACATCTGTTTTATGGAAAGCACTGCTATTACCACCAGTAATACTGTGACTGCTGGAATGGAAAAATAACTCTAGAGCAGAGCTGCTGTAATGATGTCTTTTTGACCATCGTTCAGTGGATTACAGGAGCTGGATTTCCCCTAGAATTATGCTTGGAAGGTAAATGTGAACAAAATGCTTATGCTGCTCAGACATCAGGTGGAGCTGGTTTTGTTAGTTTGTTTGTGATAGTTTCTGCCTCAGCTCCATTTCCTGATCGCGTTTTCACCTTTGCTAGTGATTTTACAGGCAGAATTCCTGTACTACTGTGACTAAGGTTTCTTGAACTCCTATAATTATTGCCCTTAAAGTGAGTTAATGCAGGCTACCTGAGACATGAAGGAATGCTGTACTGTACTTTAATTCCCTCCCTTGTATTAATTATCCGAACTGGTTTGATTCCTTTACTGTGCTTCCTGGAGCTGGTTGGTAATTCTGTTTCGCTATTCCAGCAATAATTGTGATAACAGAAACTTAGCTTCATCCTTGGGCAATTGCCTTTGTGTGCCAAAGACAAGGAAGGCTGGGGTATTTGAGATTTTTGGCTAAAACAACAGAACTTCTGCTCTTCTGTGCTGTTGTTAGCAACTGCCTTTTACAAAGCATTCAAATGTGTTTCTTCGAACTTGTATATTTAAAGCATTGACGCCATTGGACACTGACTTCCTGTTTGGAACCTGACCAACTTTTCTTGTCCTCTTCTGGAGTGGGAGGAAAACAATTCCATCCTCAGATAAAGCTATGATCCTGCAAAACAAGAAGTGCTTTTTGCACCAACGTCGAGATGACTCGGAGCTTTGCTTGCAGCACTGAGGAGATGAGCTACAAAGAAAGCAGATGCCAGGTGTTTTAGTTAGAGATATACTTGTCACTGAGTCTACAGCTAGTGAGTATTATTCCTATTGCTCTCACTGTGAAGTGGTGCAAAGTGGCGATTCTGGGAATTCTATTTGGACTGCTCCCTGTGAATGAGATTGACGTTAGCCCACTTGGCCTGTGAGCTGCCAGGCCCATGTGGATATCGACAGCTGGTCTTTGGTTTTGCTTTTTTTTCCCTTCTCTTCCACTCTGTGAATGGAAGTGATGACCTTCTAGTGATGACCTTGCTTTTTGTAGCCGTGCAAGTTGTGTGTTACAGTATTACAGTATTACAAGATAAGCCATAGTTGAGCATACCCATAGCATCCTTAAAACTATGCTACGTAAGCAAAACAGAGGGAATGCAGAATGATGAGAAGGATGAAGTTCATCCTGGGCTGTGGGTAGTAGAATATCCCCAGGTAGGGCCAAGAATGCAGCACCAAAAGGATTCAGAATAAAGCAATATCAATGACTGTGTGGAATTTCTACTGTAAAAGTGTGGGGCCTTCTTCCACTTCAATGTCTCTGCTGTCTGACACAACGGGAGAGCTGCTGTGGCCTCGTGTCCATGCGTGTGCCTCCTCCAGGGTGAGCAGCTTTGCGGAAGGAGAAGACACCCACAGGGACTTGGGCCATAATAAAGAACTGTGTCCTGTAAAGGAAAACCGCCAGTAAGAGGGAGGATCAGCAAGCAGCAGCAAAGCCATTGCAGCTCTGGGGGAGGTGCTGTATTTTTCTAAGTCTTGGCTATGCCAGCCACTGGAAGATGATGTCAAAACAACCATTTTGTCAGAGGGATGTTTATGGCAAAGGACATAATCATAACTGAGAGCAACTTACTGTATTTAAGCAAGCAAGCAAAACTTCTAAAAAGTGAGGACAGGTAAGTCAGAAACCTTCACTGCCATACTTGTATCAAGCTTCATCTGCATGCAAAATATTGTCATGATAGTGACAGTTTTCTTCTTATGAAGTCTGGATTTGGTCACTCTAAGCATCCAGCAACCGGAAATGCTGCACACGACTGCAGCAGCTACAACCCAGTGTGCAGGTGGGCACAGAGAACTGAATCTGGCTGTCTTGCTCTTGGCCTGCTTACAGCCAGTGCTTGTTTTTGGATCTGTTCAGTCCCAGCCTGAACCACTGATTGAGCACCTGTGGAAAGGACCTGCCCAACCCTGGGAGCACAGGTAAAGGCAATTCAGATGTGTGACGGGAAGGGTTGGAGCCTGGCTGCATCTCTCTTAGACCTCATGTAAGGGCTGACTGCAGCTAGGGAAGGATCTCTTTCTGGAGATCCCTCCTTGGTGATGCTTTTTCCTGTGAACCTGGAATCTTCTGATATGGGTGAGCAATCTTCTCCCCTTCCTTTATAGTACCTCTCTATTGTGCCAGTCATCACGCCTCTGTTGTAATGCCTTTCCTAGTCACAGAATCACAGAATGGCCTGGGTTGGAAGGGACCTCAAGAATCATGAATCTCCAACCTCCCTGCCACAGGCAGGGCCACCAACCTCCACATTTAATATCAGACCAGGCTGCCCGTCCTGGCCTTGAACACCTCCAGGGATGGGGCATCTGCAGCCTCTCTGGGCAGCCTGGTCCAGCACCTCACCACTCTCATAGTAAAGAATTTCCTCCTGACATCCAACCTAAATCTTCCCTCCCTCAACTTCAAACCATTTCCCCTTGTCCTGCTGTTATCTACCCTTTCGAAGAGTTGACTCCCCTCCCGCTTATAGACTCTGTTTAGGTCTGTTTAGGAAGACTGCAATGAGGTCACCCCTGCAGCCTTCTTTTCTCCAGGCTGAACAAGCCCAGCTCCCTCAGCCTGTCTTCAAAGTGGAGATGCTCCAGCCCTGTGATCATCTTTGTGGCCTTCCTCTGGTCCCTTTCCAATAGCTCTCTGTCTTTCTTGTACTGGGGGCTCCAGACCTGGACACATTACTCCAGATAGGGCCTCACAGGAGCAGAGTTAGAGAGGGACAATCCCTTCCCTGTCCCTGCTGGCCACTCCTCTTCTGATGGAGCCCAGAATACCATTTGCTTTCCGAGCTGCAAGAGCACGCTAGTGGCTCATGTTAAGCTTTTCATTCATCAGAACCCCCAGGTCCTTCTCTGCAGGGCCGCTCTCAAGGACTGCTCCTTCCAGGCTGTATATATGCCAGGGATTTCTCAGGCCCAAGTGCAAAAACCTTGCACTTTGCTGCGTTGAACCTGAACCTTAGATTCACCTGGGCCTGCCTTTCAAGTCTACTGAGGTCCCTCTGATTGGCATTCCTTCCTTCCACTGTGTATGGGAACTGCTGAATCATGGCCTGAACCTCTGATTACTGAGGCAAGCACTGAATCAGCTATGGGAGCACAGGTGAAGGCAATTCAGCAGTGTGACCTCTCCTAGACCCCATTTAAAGGCTAACACTCACTGAGGAAAGATCTCTTCCTGAAGATTGCTCCCTTTGGAGTTTTTCTGTGAGCCCAGGGCGCGGGTGAACATTTTCATTTATTTTTGATTATCCCTTTCCACCATGATCTTTCTAGCTATACAATCTGTAGATACCGCCTAACCACACCACTCTGTATATTTGCTGACTATACACACTGTGTCAACCACACCACTCAGCTTGGTGTCGTCAGCAAACTTGCTGAGGGTGCTCTTAATTCCATCATTGCTGTCACTGATAAAGATGTTAAAGAGCACTGGTTGAGGCTGAAGTCTGAGAGTGGGAGGATGGTGTCAGTCTTGTGGGTGAAGCATGTGACCTGGTGCACATCCCTTCTTTGTTCTCCATCCCTCCCACTATCCATCCATCCCATCACTTCTGTCCTTCGCCATCCCTCTCTTCCACATTCTCTATCCCTCTTCTTTAGCCTCTGTTTCAGCTCTGTTCTCCATCCCACCCTATGCAACCCTTTCTACTCACCACTTCCAACTCCCCACCCTTCTATCTCCACATTCCCTGTTCCCACCCCACACCACCTCCTCATCCTCACCACCACGTATTTCCCAGAGTGCAGCACAAAGCGGTGCCAGTGCACAGTGACAGCAACACTGCGATTGCTGAGCCTGCCCTGGGTGTCAGAGAGTCACCTTGAAGGTACTCAAGGTGGACTCTGGCTGTGTTGCAGCTCTGTGCCACCACACAGATGCAGTTGACCCTGACAGCTATGGCCATCCTATCGAAGCTCAGGCAGTGGTTAGTACTCACAGCCTGGCACGGCCCTGAAGTGACCACCGCTGGCACTGCCCAGCACTTGTCACCGCAGTGGGGACCACTTGGGGACACACAGCCCTTACAGAACCCATAGGTGAAATCCAGGATGCAGAGTGCAGCAGGTGCTGGTAGGGCAGTTGGGTGCTGCGGAGAGAAGGGGACAATGGAGGGCAGGGTCCTCCCAGGTCTCCAGTCCTTTTTGGGTGCCAGGATCCCTTAACTCCCAATTTATAAACCTAAAAAAGCAGGTTACTTACAGATCATGGCTTGGAGGTGGAAAGCAGAATTTTAAGTGGATTAAGTTGGAAGTGCCTGACTTGGGGTCAGATATGTCAAGCAAGAGGTAAAAGGGTACATTTGAGGGTTGGAAATGCCAGATTAGGGGGTTGGGGATAGAAAACAAGGGAAAGCTTAGATGGATTTGGGGGTTAGAAATGCTAGATTTGGGGCTGGAGATAAAAAGCAAGGAGTAAAAGGGAAGAGTGTATAGATTTGGGGTTGGAAAAGACAGATTTGGATTGGGAGGGATGAAGGAAGGCTGCTGCAAAAGGGTGGATGGATTTGGAGGCTGAAGATACAAGTCTGGAGGAAGGAGAGGGTGGGGAAGAAGGATCCCTTGAGAATACAGTTGGGAAAGAAGAGTTGAATTTCAGCACAAAATCAGTAATTTTGGCCTAATGGGACTCACCACATAGCAGTACCAACCACCCTGGAAAGAAAAAGGCCATAAAGCACCACCTTCCTCAGAGAGGAGAGTAGGATGGTTTGGACAGTTGCTCTGAGAACTGCTGTTACCCCACTGACATAGCAGTGAAGGAGAGGGGCAAGCAGGGAGTCCTCCCTCTGCCCTGCTTTACCTCATTGTCTTTCTTCTCACCTTAAACAGAGCATCCAGCTGCAGGGTTAGGGACCCCACCCTGCCCCTCTGTACCCCATAAACCCTCATAGGTGGGCAATGGGATTCATTCTACTCCAAGGAACCCATTCACACCTGTAAGAAGGGGACCCATGTGGCAAGAACACATCTCACCCCACATCCCACTAAAAGGGAGCAATGAACCACCATACCTAAGCTCCATCCTGCACCACGGACCCCATAACCCCAACCCAAATGGACAGGGGATATGGGGGCACTCACCATGCTGGAGCCACGGAGCTGAACCTCCTCCAACGTTTCCAAGTTTTGAAGCAGCCAAGAAAGCGGCTCGAGCCAATAGGATGCAGGTTCTGTACCTCCAGGGCCACCCCCACTGGTCCCCATGGAGGGGATAGGGCTTGGGGGCACTGGTCTTTGGGGCAGAAATCATTTCCTCAGTTGATTCCTTCAATCCATTCTTCCATCCATCCCTCCAAAAGTTCTTTCCTGTGTTGATCCCTCTTGTTTATCTATTCCTCTCTCCATCTGTGCAAATTCAAGCAGCCTCACCATTACCCATCAGAACCTCCTCTGGAGCTTTGGGGGATTTCTCCATGTGCCTTCAGGCATTTCCTTGTGAACCTGCTGGCAGTGTCCTTGCTTAATCATAGTGCTGATTTTCTGGTTCCTGCCACAGCATCACACAATCCCTTTACTCAGTAGCCCTCCCTATTCATAGTTTAAAGCCTCCCTCATGAAGCTGCCATCCTACTGATGAAAATATCCTCACATCCCTTAGGGGGGTGGGTCCCACCTCTTCCAAGCAGCCATCAATCTGCAAATAGATCCCCCAGCCACAGTACCCAAGGCCCTGCTACCAGCACCAGTCCTGCAGCCAATGACTGGCACACACCACCAGTGCCCTCCTCTTCACACCTGTCCCACAGCAGCACCAAGATCCCCGTGCCCTTGACTACTAGCCCGAGAGCTTTGCAGCCACATTGCTGCCATTCACATGTCCCCCAGCAGCATCACCTGTGCTCACCTTTCCTGGTGGCCTCACATGGTGATCCGCACAAGGAATAAGGTTGGGTGCACCTTTGCTTCCTGTCCAGCACTGAGGGCACTGGAGCTGCATTGGAGCTGCGAGCCTTTCTGTGGGGCAGGAGCATCCTCTGCTGCCAGGAGTCTCCAGCTTCAGTCCGTCACCAGATGTGAGGCTGTGCCACAGGGCTGCAGTGCGGGACCTGCAGCTCAGAAAAGCCCCTGAGCACTGCGGAGACAAGCAGGCAGTCTGTGATGCCTTCAGAGTGTTATAAATCAACAGTTTACAGTTACCAACAGTTACAAACACCTGCAAAAGCAAACAAGAACCACGTCCTGTAGCAATAAGAATGCACAGCTTAGCAGACAGGAGCGTAGGACTTAGGAGAAAGTTGCATTTCAGAGGTTGGTAGGGAATCTCACATCACACAAAGGCACCAAAACCAGAGTTTCTAACAACTGTGTTACCCAGGAGCCCCACGAGGCAGTGCTGGCATGACCTGGCATGTGGCTCCAGAACAAGGCAGCCCAGTATAAGGCATCAGGCAGTGCTGATGCGATGCGCGTTATGGACAGGTCATTCCTTCATAGGTACCGTTCCAGTGACAGCACACTGTCCAGAGTAAGTGCTTGACACACAAACCTCAACGATTTACACTTCCACCAGTCAAGTCAAACAGACCAAGACTATGAGGCTGACCTGTAACTGCCACTTCCTTCTGCAGTCACTGGGGCAGCTTCCCCACCTCCAGATCTATAAGGAACATACAAACAAAGTGCAGCAAGGCTTGTTGAAGGTTTGTGAGGACCTTTGTTGAAGGTTTACGAGGACCGTGGAGACATGGCACTGAGGGACAAGGTCAGTGGGCATGGTGGGGGTGGGTTGGGGTTGGACTTGGTGATCTTAGAGGTCGTTTCCAACCTAAATAATTCTATTATTTGATGACATCTAAACATGACTGCATTTTACATGATTTTTGGGGGGCATGGGTGAATCATCTTTGTCTTTCTTGTACTTGCAAAAACTGAAGCAAGCCTGTATTCTCTTCCTGTAATGACAAGGTTCATTTTCCCCTCTTCAACCTCCTACAATCTACCAAATTAAGCAAACTTGGACACAGGTTTTACTGGTAAATGCCCGGGCAGAGGGACAGCTTGCAAGGAAACAAGAAAGCCTGTACTGATTTGGCTAAAGCATTCTGTTTAAAAAAGGTGACAGTGAAAACAGGATTTCTTGAAAAGAATTGTTTACAGCTTTATTAAGAGACAGCTTTATTAAGGATGTCTCATGCTAAGATTGATGGTTTTCTAATTCCTGAATTACAGAGGATATATAAACAGGGTTAAATAAGCCCTAGCAGGAAAGTGCCAAATTCTAAAGCAAAAGACCCAGGAACAGTTCCACCTACTGCACTCCCTCAGGAGCCTCAATGGGACCTCTTACCTATTCACAGAGCACCCAATGCGAGTGGGTCGGCTGTTCTGGGGGAGAAGGATTGGGAACCATATTCCAATTTGTATCCTTGGAAAGAGATGAGAGAAACAGCTCCACGTAGCAAACAAGAATGAAATGATGGTCGATCTCCAGTGCAACGGGTACAGGACCAATGACCCCGCATGGAGCTCCAAATGTTTTGAAAAAATTGGTCCTCACAAACTGTAAGAGCCTCAAGTGACCCCGGAGCAGAGGCCTCTTAATATATGGAAACCCCAAGAAACGTGAAGGACAATCACTAATAGGGTTGGGAGGGAAACAAATGGAAGCTGTGAAAATACAAATAGAAATGAAAATAGGAAACCTCCTGAAATGACTGTATCCTGTCATGATTGTCCCTGTCCCAGAATACATCATAGGGATAGGTATTCCACCCTTGAATCTTCCCAATGGTCAGCACCAATTTGGAATAAAGAATTGTATTAGTGCTCTGACAATTTTAGTGGGAAAAGTAAAAATGCCTGCTGGACAGATTCCTGCTGCATCTGAAGTAGTGACAATGAAACAATATAGGACCCTGGGGGGGCATGAAAAGATATCACGGACAATTAATGATTTATTGGATGCAGGAGTTTTAAGTCAACTACTACAGCTTGGAACAATCCAATATGGCCTGTCAAAAAGTGATGGATCATAGAGGAAATTAAATAAGCACACCCCACCTCTCACAGCGGCTGCAGCAGGTAACCATTGCTTTAGTAGAAGTTGTTCAGAAACATTCCAGAACCGGGTATGCTGTAATTGATTTAGCTAATGCATTTTTCACTATCCCAATTGCAGAGGAACGTGGCAGGGGTGACAAGGTACTTTCCGTAGATTGCCTCACGGATGGCTGCACAGTCCAACCATCTGCCACAGAACAGTGGCTGAACACCTGCATCATTACAAACTGCCTCCTCACATGCAAATAATCCATTACATAGATGACATCCTGACTCAGGGAAGCTGTAAGGAAGAGGTGCAAACAAATGCTGGAATCGATTGTGGATCACATGAAACACAAAGGCTGGGAAATTCATCTACTAAAATTCAAGGGCAGTCTCAAAAAGTGAAACTTCTAGGAATTCACTGGCATTTTGGGCACTGGGAAATACTACCCAAAACGTGATACAAAATTCTAGATTTTGCAGTACCCTGTAATAAGAATGAGGCACAGAGGTTTATTGGATTGTTTGGTTTTTGGAGACAGCACGGTCATATCTAGGACAAATTTTAACCCCGTTTATATACAAAGTGACAAGGAAGAGTTGGAGAGGGGAAATGAACAGCAAGTTGCCTCTGGATTAGCAACGGAAGCTCTTTAAAGGGCTTCAGACTTATGGCCCATGCAAAAGGGAGAAATGGAGTTGAACGTATCTGTAAATGGGACATGTGTCAATTGGAGCTTCTGGCAAAAACAGGGAATGAAAAGGATTCCCTTGGGTTTCTGGGGAAGAAAACTGTCACGTCATGAGAGGAGTAATGAATGCAGATAAGGATAAATCCAATTCTGCTAAACAATGGTGACAAGATTTAATTATTCAACTGCATGACAGAACAGACAGAACAATTATTGATATTGCCAGTTTCAAAAACAATTGTGAGAAAAGGGGATCCACCTCAGATCAACACCATTCCTGGAGACCACGGGTTTGGATCCACCAGTATTAACAGTGGAGCTAAAGTACAAAGCCAAAGGGCCCTCCTGAACCGGATGAAATAACAGCTACAGGGAACAATACTACTATTTTAACTATGAAACCTGGGCAAGAAAAATGGGAATACGTCCCTGCAACTATGTGTTATTTGCAAAAATAATTATAGGGTATATAATTTTATTTTACAGATCCTGTACAATTGAACGGTCCATTTGGAAAAAGATACTATCCATGTGCCTGGATATGAAGACCAACGTGAAGAACGGCCTCACACTAAATTATCCCCAGTGCCTGCTGTCAAGGCTTGTGACCTGAGTGCAGTGATGACGTTGCTAATGTCACATCGCCACTGTGACCAGGGCACGGGTTGGACAAACAGATTTATAACTTTAGGACAAGGTTAAAAAAGTTTGCTGTTTCTTCCTGTTATGTGTGTGGAGGCCCAGGAGGACATGAAGACTGCCCTACACCATGCACCCAAAATGGTGGATCAGCAAAACAAGTACAGCTCACGAGGGAACAGAGCTCTGGACCCAGGACAGTGATCCCTGGCATTTACAGGAATACAAACAAATTATCAGAGAAACAGGGATAAATACACAAAAATTGAAACACACAGTCAGGTTATTTCATGTGTCCTACACCAGATGATTCAAATACCATGCCTGCCACGGTCTTCCCACAATGAGATTGTATCTATATGAAAAATAAGTTTTGATAAGAGATTTCTGACTTACAAATATTAGAGTCATCTTTGTAATTTAAAGGAAAGGGCTGAGGAGGCTCATTAGGAGCCACCAAGTTACTCAGCCAGCCACCATAAACCTTAATTTTTCATAATTGCACAAGGGCTGATCCAAAAGTAATGCCTCCTGTTTTATAAAGCTGGCCCATATCAGAGGTGGATGTTTGTGGGATGGCAGTAGAGGTTGAACCTTCCTGCCAGCATTCAATTACATTTTGTAGCCATGCAACAGATGGCAGCAGAGGGCCAGAATGACAGCACAGCATCTGACAGGGAAGTGCACATGGAGCACAGGGGTGTCACTGAACTCCTCCACACTGAAAAAGCTGCACCCACTGACATTCATCGATGCCTGCAGAACATTTATGAAGACCAACACATGGATGTGAGCACACTGAAGTGGTGGGTGATGCATTTCAGCAGTGGCAACAGCAATGCAAGATGAGCCACCCAGACAGCCAAACAGATTTATTTTAATTATTATTTTATTTTTAAACAAGCACAGCACGCAGGCTCTCGCTCAACGCTGGGAAAAAAAAAAAAAAAGAAAAATAGGATAGCTAATGGTGGTAACTATGCTGAAAAACAGCTTTGTAGCTGAGAACTCACCCTACGTATCCGTTGTCATTTCTATGGAAATAAATAGAAGGCATTCCTTTCAGAGCAATCGACAGTCATCAGTGATCCATCATCCTAGTAATGCAGTAATACTAATAATAGAAACAGAAAAAAAGTCAGATTCTCAGAATATCTTTTGTGGGGATGGAACAACAGAACCTACACTATAGTCAGCGGCAGTTAATTCCCTGGGAAGGAACTGATGCCAACTAGAAAGGTCACAGCCAGTTCCAACAGTCAAACTATACCAGCACGTCAAAGCACGCGGCCTTGGAATAAACCCCAAGGATAAACCAAATTGCATCTTGGTGCCAGCAAATTTTTTCTTCAATATACACGAATAGACTGGGAGGTAGCAATCCTACAAATTTAGTTATAACATTGTGTCTTATGGGAAGAAGAAAAGCAGGATGTTTAAGACTTAGGCAGGCATAGAACCTCCAGCTCTGGAGGTGAACAATTCCAAATTCTTGATATCTTGTCATAATTTGTGTGCATACATAAGAAACAGTGCAACTCACTTCACAAGAGCAACCAAATGTATTGAAGGCATACTTACGAGACTCTGAGGTAGAAAGCTGCTCACTGAGGTGAAGGCTGGAAATGAGGCAGGGGAGGCTTGATAGATTGAGAGTGATTGTTTGGAAAAAGAAAGGGACAGAAGGGAAAGAGATTGCTGGAATCTATCAGATGCCAATATTCATTTGAAAAACATACTGTACGTGTAGTATAAAAAGCAACACAGCATCAGTCTGCAACTATTTATTCCACTGTCTTAATGATGATTGCTATTATACAAACTCTATGTATTTTTAATACTGCTTTTAAAAAACCATGATTTAATTTCCTTCTCCAGTGCATCATCAAATTAAGGTTCATTTGTCATACAGCTATATACAAAGTTTAGGTAGAAAAAAAGATTTCTGGAAGTCCCGGTAACACAGCCACAAGCATATCCACTGTACAGGATAGGGCATAAACCAAAGCTGGCTCTCTGTAACAGAACATTTCCTTTGTTTATTCTACTTTTGTTGATGGACATTACCATAGCTTTGATTATGACAGTAAGGTTTCCTAGGCCATCTGTCAGAGCTGCAGAGCTTCCACCTCCTTCTAACCATCCGTCCACTCACAAGTATAACCAGCCTGAGTAAACTCTGCTGTGTGTGCTGAGATGAAACAGAAATCAGAAGAAAATAATTGCATCTTAGTAAAAACAACTGTGATTTCTAGTCCAAACAAATTAATTTTTGTATGTGAAATTATTTCCAAAACAAAGTAACCACATTTCCAAAACAAATTCTACCCATAAAAGATTACAGAATTAAACTAAAACACATTTTAAAACATCAGTACTGTGGCAGACAGAGTAAAGAGACCAGCAAGAGAAAGTACAGAAGGGCTTTTCCCTAAGGAATCATTAACTACGGAAGGCAGGGCTGTTTGCAGGGGATTTTTTAGTGTGCATGAGCAGAAGAGAAGGAACGTGACCTCAGGAAAATCTTAAGTAACATGGAAACGGGAAGAGCTGCCCAGGTGTTCTGAACTGTTCAGATGGCGTGACAGCCATTTTCCTGAACGCTGTTACATATACAGTAACGAGCAGAATGAAAATTAAGGCATTTGTCTTCACCTTCATGGCACCATATGTGCCACCTCTCTGCAGAACTGCGACACAGACAGCACAAGACTACTGGCACAGTAACTGCCAATCCATGTTTTCAGAAGACAGCATGAAAAGTATTTCCCTTTTCCCATGCACAAAGAATTGCTGACTTATACAGACAACAATCTCAAGTGGGATAAGAATACGGACGTACTTCATTCTGTTTTATCAAACTGAAAGGTATCAAATGTCTACTTAAGGATAAAATAAAGAAAAAACAAAAACAAAAACCATGGAAAGCACACTAACCTTTGCAGGCACTTCAGATCAAAATACTCTAATAGCAGTAGCTATAGAAGTTGTTATGCTCTACAGTTCCTCTGGTAGTTTTATGGTTGGAGGTGGTGATCTTTCCATGGGCTTTGGATTGTTTGTTTTTTAAGCACCAGTAAGAAACATCACCAGTCTTTTTTCTGCACATCAATAAAGCAGAGAACACAGCTCTGAGCAGCCATCTGTCAGGACTTGTTTTAAGAAGTAGTCAAGGACATTGACAAAGCCCCATTTTTCAGGTCTTCTGATCTGGTCTTCAATGCAACCTGTTGCTAGGATCTTGAACTTCACAGCCACAACGTGCAAATACAGTTTAATAGTGGAGTCTTATTGAAAACTGTGGCTGGTATAAAATCATGCATCTATACACAGATGAGCAAAAAGGGCTCAAGTCAGGGCTTAAGATTTATCACATTATATAAATGCACAATATGTGCACTTCAGGAGAGATCCTGAGTTCTTCTAAAAGTATGCTCAGAGGACTCAAGCTCAGAGGAAATGAGTTGAACAGAAAGGTAAGCCTCCTTTCATCAGGAAGAATTGATTTACCATACAAAAGCCAACATAAAAGCAACATTATAGAACAGATCCAAATCTGTAAATGCAATAATTTCTGAATACAAGATCGGGCTGCCGCAATGCTAAACAAATGGGGCTTGTGTTATCACAAAGAGCTTGTAAAAGGAAGAAAACAACAGGAGTAGGACCAACCTCCAAATAAGATAGTAAAGCATATGAGAGCCAGGAAGTGTTGTAGCAAGTTCATTAAACCTTTAAATTTGCAGGAGACAAGACAGCCAACTCAGATTTCCTTTTACAGGCACACAAGTCCTTTCTGCTATGCTCTGTTTCAATTATTTCAGACAATGCATTTTTCTTCATTTATCCAAAATGGAGTTACATAAAAACTATAAGCTTTGAAATTATTTTGCTTAAGATAGTGGTGCCTTCCCTTTCTTTAAGACGACTTTTTTTAGATTAGTCATTGTTTCACTGGAAACAAAGTCTTCTTCCTAGTCTGTTTTAACATGATTCATACAATTTCCCAACAACTTCCTTCCAGATTTCAATTTAGCAAGAAAATGTACAGAAGACAGTAAATATCTCAGAAGACTGCAGCACGTTTTAGACTGGATTCTCAGAAAGAAATTATATAGATACCCCAGATAACAAAATCCTTACACCTATTCTTCGTAACTGAAGATGAACAACCTGAGAGAGATCTAAGAAACATACAGACATTATCTTTATGATGTTACAATACAGAGCTTTTACTTTATGGAACAGGCAAATCAGAACGTGTAATAAAAACCTGGAGCTGTACACCAATAATTTAAGGGCATCGTATCCGTTGGAACGTCCCTTGAGAATCTGAAGGAGTTCTGGATCTCTGACTTATAAAATCAGCTCTTTGCCAGCCAGTAAGAAGATGAATTCGTGAGGTTCAACTGCAGCTTCCTATTTAGCAAACACTTACTTACCAGGTTCAGATAATAAAAAAACCCAAACATCTAAGGATCTGATCCTGTGTTCCTGTTAGTGCTTCGTGCCTACAGCTACCACAAGAGGTCAGGAAGTGAAGCAGGCACAGGAGAAAATCAGACAAGCAAAGCATGTGTGACAACAAAGGAACTTCAGAAGCACGTTTCACTTTTAAGAAGGAAAAGAGATACCTTGATCCATTTGCTATCAAATGCCCTTTCATTCCATACCTATACAGCAAAAAGTAAAAAAGCCATTTTGAGAAATGAGAATGTGTTGATATACGATGTAAAATCTCATACACATAAATAAATCTTCTGCAGCCATTACTGAACTCCACGGTTTTAGTTTGTTTCAGTCTGCCAAAGGAAATTGCTCCGACTGGTTCTGTCAGCCCTCCAGGGAAAAATTCTGTATGAAAATTCAAGGCAGGTGCTTATTTCTCTCATCCTTCGACCCACTCCCCGCAGCCTTACTGAAAAGAACACTCATGCTGGGAGAGCTGTCTACAACCCTTAGCCTTGCTACACATTATACTCTATTAACAATGGCTCTACAGCTTAGTAGACAATGCTTTTATCCACAGTTTCTCATCAAGACGTGGTCATACAGAATGTCATTCTGTGTCAACACAGAAACAAGACGTTACTTAAATACTTCATATGCAGAACTTACTATATGCTACTGTAAAAGCACAGCAAGGCAAAATCTCATGTCGGACACACACCTCCCACTCCCCCCCCTCCAAGGTCCATTTCTCAAGCTTCAATGCCTTACCAGAGTGCAAGAGTGACACTGCCTGAAACAGTCAGCAACAGCAAGGGAAACACACTAGAAAGAATGGACATTGTATGTACCTTCGCACACTGCAACAGAAAGGGCAGGCTTTCTCAGAGGGTCGGGAGCCACAACTTGAGAAGCTTTGCTGCAGTGAGAATTCAGAAATGCAGCCTCACAATAAATCACTTGTATTCACCACTGTGATCAAGCCTAAGCCCTGACGCCATTTGACACGAGAAGATCGTTGGCAAGTCCCTGCCTAGGCTAGTGTTATGCCACTGCAGAAAAGCAAAAACAGGCTGAGAAGCATCAATGCAAGCACGCCAAGTCTCACAGATTCCCTACCTTGTCTGGTGCCACGTAAAAACATCGGTCCGTTAAAGCAATCGGGGGCCAGACGTGTTTGCTGAACAAAGAGCACGCAAATCCCAAGGCTGGGATTCACCCATCAGCTCAATTCTAAGGCTCCTCTCTTCAGCTTCTCTCATCAGCCACCGCTCACAGCCTCAGCAGCCGCTCTCGCCGTTCCCGCAGGCACACGGGAGGTCTCGGTGCCACCTGGGAAGGAAGCAGACGTTGGAAAGACATCCTAAAGCTCTGTGCATTGCTCACCGCCACAGCGTGCGGGCATCCGCCGGCCCTGCTCACCCCGCTGCCGCCGATCCCGGCCCTCCGGCGCCGTCCCGTACGTGAGCGGCACCGACCCCGGAGGTCCCGGACCCCACCGAGATCCGACCGCACGGCACAGCCAGGAGGAGCGGACAAACCTGGCGCGCCGCCCGGCACCGCGCCGCCACCACGGCCCGCCGCCCGCCACGTGACCGCGCGACCCGGCCATCACCGGGCAGGGCGGCCGCGGGGTGAAGCTGGCGGCCGCCATTTTGAGAAAGGGCACAGCGAGCCTCGAGCGGCGGGGAGGCGCTGAAGAGCGGGTGAAGCCGTCGAGGAGCCATGTTGGCTGTGGGAACGCGGCCGGGCGGAGCTTCCGACGTTCTAACGCTTCGAATTTGGTAATTGGTAAATGCTTCGTTTGCTTGTATTGCGCACGTACAGTTAGGTCGTGAGTTCCCGGCGTTGAGGGATGCGGTGTTCCTGTAATAAAGAAAAATGCAGTGAAGGCACTCGGGCACTTCTGGCAGACGCTGCTCCGGCTCGGTCGGTGCCGTTCCGCGTGGCACAGACGGGGCGAGTGAAGATTCACAAGTGCCGCTGCACGAAATCGTAGCTCGGTTCGGTACCGCCGCGCCGTCGTTGGACAAAGGGCTCCGTGCTGCGAGTGCTGCGGCAGCTCGGGCACACCGAGCGTCAGCTGGGCATTGCACGCAGCCTGCGGAGCGCACGTGGGCAGGTGGGGATCGGCTGATAGACAGCGCGGGGCTGCAAGCCGGCAGGGAGATGGCTTACACTGGTACCAGGCAACGGGCGTCGGGGTAAAATCAAGGTCTGAAGAACGTTTGGGTCCTTGTGGAGTTCTGTACGGCAGACCCGACCGATTTCAGTTTAAAGGGAATCATAGAATGGCCAGGGTTGGAAGGGACCTCAAGGATCACAAATCTCCAACCCCCTGCCACATGCAGGACCACCAACCTCCACATTTCATACCAGATCAGGCTGCCCCGGTGTGGGAATGGAATGTTGTTTCTGCATTTGATATTAAAAAGGAGCAATTGGTTTGAAGAAGTAGAACATCATGCATTTGTATTTTGTAACTTATCCTTAGAAATAGTTGATCTAAGAAGTACAATACAGTATACGTTAGCGGCATGTTTTAGAAACGTTATTACTGAATTATGTGATTAATTCTTTCTTGCAAAACTGTAATAATTGTTAAATGTTCCAAACAATGCGAGTATAGTGTGCTAAGGATTAAAAAACATATTGTAGAGCTGTTCTGTAAGGATAAGAAACAGTCAGCAAAAGAAATACAGATTTAGCAAACATCAAAGAAGTCAGGGCCTCTGCACAAGGCTGAACTGTCTCAGTCCGTGAGAAGGTTGGGGTGTGAAGGCAGGCACCAGGATACTCCCCTGCCTCTCTTCCAGGCTTCTCTTTGTAGAAAGAAGGACAAGCAGATATCTGCAAAATAATGATCAGATGTGGAATAAGTTAATTAACTACAGATTTATGCTTATGCAGCAAAAATTTATGTTTGTCCAGTGTTTCCATGTTCAGTGAAGCGTTGAGAAGATTGTGAACCTGAAGTACTCAGCCAGTGAGGAACCAGGGGAGTAAGAGATAAGCGTCGGGAATAGGGAATAAAAGAGGTAACTCTTTTCTGTGTGCTCTCCTGCTTGCAGGAGGCCCGCCATTGCAATTGTGAATAAAATCTGCTTTATCAGAGATACCGTCCTAGAAAATTATTTGGATATTTCCTACACATCTGCTTTGATACCTCAATCTTCCAATGAAATTTGCAGTCACTGCAGTTATTGCCACTAGTGGAGTGTAGATAGCTGCTTTTCCAGAATATTTGCTGCTTCCCATTTTATACAGTCGTTGCTCTTTTTTGGATAGCACAGTTGCTGTAAGTGCAGCTTTTGTTCCTTCCTACTGGAAGGCAGTTTTTATGTCAGCAGGATGCAGGGGTTAGCTTGGCTGAACAGGAACAGCCCACAGCAGGCTGAGCTCTGCCAGGGGTAGACCAACATGCAAAGCACCTGGGCCAAACAATGATCCAGGCTTTAGAATGGAGCATATTACCTTGGTGAGCTGTTTAATGATTCAAGCTTTCAAGTCATCTGTTTCCCCACAAGCAGAAGGGTCAGGGAATGTCACAGAGAATCAGCTAAGCTTGGGAATACTGCTCTGGCAAGGCAGCCCTTCTGAGCACAGCATCTCAACCTGGACCAGCCTTCAAGAGGGGACAGCATTCCCTGGCCTGCTTTAAGCCATCCCAAGTTAGTCTAGTTGGATGACAGCTGGATGTCTGTGTACCATTTGGCCCAAAGCCTGGGTACTCAGGTACAGCTGACAAACACATGAGGCTGTGCATACATTTCCCAGGAGCTGTGATGTTAAAGGGATAAGTAGTAGGAATGGATGCAACCAGGATGTTGATGTGAGGGGATGATACACTTGCCTCCCACACCTCTTATCACATGAGAATGGCCATATGAATACTTGCTCTGTAAGCAGTGGCAAACAGGGACAGCTCTTAGAGCAGACTCCTTGTGCTCACCTGCACTGCTCTGCACTGAGAGGCTTCAGAGATCCTAGCAGCTGGCACCATCAGCTACTTTGGTAGAAGTTTAAATGTTTGTCTGCAAAAACAAGCACTGGCTGTAAGCAGGCCGAGAGCAAGACACGGCCAGATTCAGTTCTCTGTGTCCACCTGCACACTGGGTTGTAGCAGCTGCAGTTGTGTGCAGCGTTTCCTGTTGCTGGATGCTTAGAGTGACCAAACCCAGACTTCATGAGAGGAAAACTGTCACTACCATTACGATACTATGCATGCAGATGAAGCTTGATTCAAGTATGGCAGTGAAGGTCTCTGACTTACCTGTCCCCACTTTTTAGGAGTTCCTAAATACATTAAGCTGCTCTCAATTATGAGTATGTCCTTTGTCATAAACATCCCTCTGACAAAATGGTTGTTTTGACATCATCTTCCAGTGGCTGGCATAGCCAAGACTTAGAAAAATACAGCACCTCCCCCAGAGCTGCAATGGCTTTGCTGCTGCTTGCTGATCCTCCCTCTTACTGGCGGTTTTCCTTTACAGGACACAGTTCTTTATTATGGCCCAAGTCCCTGTGGGTATCTTCTCCTTCCACAAAGCTGCTCACCCTGGAGGAGGCACACGCATGGACACGAGGCCACAGCAGCTCTCCCGTTGTGTCAGACAGCAGAGACATTGAAGTGGAAGAAGGCCCCACACTTTTACAGTAGAAATTCCACACAGTCATTGACTTTCCATCTGAAAGGTGAAGAGGAGTTTCTTTTGCAGCACCTATCATAATTGTTTTGGTGGGGTTTTTTTTTCCATTATTAGAAACGCAAAACTTGCTGAAACTAAGTTACCCTAATTGTGCCTGAAGTGTTGTAGTGAATTTCCACTCACTTTGGACTCTGAGGGCTCAACCAACATACATTTGGCCGATGGGCTCAGTTTAGCCACACAACGGTGCTGTTCCTTCCTGGTTAGGCAGGCAGACACTAGGTGTATAAAGCAGCTGACGTCTATCCTTGCCTGTACTGCCTGCACGTGGAAACATCGGGGTTTTCCAGATTTCAGACACGTGTCTGAAACAAATTTTGGTTCTCCGCTAAGCAGAGCTGATGGACAGACCTGTTGGCTCTAGAAATTAAACATGGCAGTGAGATGAGGCCAATGATGTGCTAACGTAAGAGGAAGAGGTGCTTTGGAATGCCTTTTATGGCTGTACAGTTCCTCAGGAAGCAGTCACACCTGCAAGCTAAATAAAAGCTGTCCCTTAGATGCTGTGCTGTACAGTTGTGGAGCCTTTGCTCACATGAGCTGCATCTTGCTTTGCATAGTTTAGAGGAAATTAACCAGCAAGACTTCAGGGCTGAGCTATAAGAATGGAAACATCCTCAGCTGTTTGACAGAGACCGAGTTTCTAAGGTCTGTGTCAGCCTGGGAAATCCATCCTGTGTGGCCAAATGCAAATTGCAGCATAATTCCAGGAGCCCTCAGAAATGGAAGTCATAGCCCTGGCAGGTAAGGATGCAAAGCCAGCTTTCAAAACGCTGTTTTTCAGCAGCATAGAGTTCATGCTTTCAGTGTGCTTGTACCTCATTCTAGTGTCCAAGCCTGTGCATAACATCTTCTGTTCATCCCTGTCTTTCCTGAATGGGTCTCATGTTAACTCAAGACCTGGAGCTGGCAGAGCACACCCCTCTTGTGCTGTTCCCCCGAGTAGTTTTTGGGAGACAGCAAATGGGCACCCGTAAAAGAAGTCTCAGAATGTTTCCTTCTGACGCTGTTATTATGGAAGTAAGAATACATTCCTGGTTCCATTTTGCTTTTGTGTCAGAAGACAGACATTTTGTGTCAGAAGATAGATATTTAAGCTACCTAAAGTCACTTTTCCACAAAGATGCCCACAAAAAGAAGGCATCCAATATCTTTCTGTAGCTACAGAGACTCTGATTTCTCAACCCTTTCCATGTATGTTTCACTGTCTCTTTCCAAATTTAGAAACAGAACTGTGCATTTTTGCAGAAGAACATACCACAAATCCCAAAGTGTGGGCCCGTGGGGAGTTCTATCCCATCTTCTCTCTGATGCCTTTAGTCTTCAGTGTAACAAACACATTCTGTGACTGTGCTTTAAGACAGTCTCCCTTGAGCATTTTAGCTGTGCTTGTTTAGTGCTCGTAAAGCCAGCTGTGCAAGTGCTGCTTTCCTCTCCATTGCGAGGGGATTGCTGTCAGGAGCCAACCAGTTATCCCAGGCACATCCAGCAGGGAGCTGCCATGGCACGATGGGCGTGTGGAGCAGCTGTGTTCCAACCTGTCCTCTGCAGCAGTCAGCATTCTGCGGGTTACTCTTCCCCAGTTTGCAGAACGAGTATCAGAAGTTGATACTCTTTTGTGAAAGAGTAAATGGATGTTTAAAACAGGGCAGCATGACATTCCTGGCTGCAGACAAATAACAGCAGAGATGCCTGCCACCTCCGCAGTAAAAGCTGGACTTAATGAAGCTTATCCATCTGTGTCAGGCAGCAGTATCAGGGCAATGCTCTTCAGGTCTTTGTTTTCCTGCAAAGGATTTTGAACAGCTGAGCTCACCCTGCCTTTCATTCCTTGCCATCTCCCCCTTTTTCTTCTAAGGTGAAAAAGG